ATTAAGTTGGATACTTTCATATTGCACTAGTCAAGTTAAGGGGAAATTGAGAGATTAATTAAGAAAGTACATGGTATATAACATCTAGAACTCTTGCTTAGTGTAGACATATTCATAATTCTTATAGGCATTAAATGTGAGCTAGTCCAAGTGAGCGAATCCCTTGTATTCCTAATAATACATCAATAAGATATATGCCATATCCTAGGCTTAGAAATCTCCAGTTATGTTTTAACTATATAAAACTAATATGAATATACTATTTAGCGTTAACTGTCTTAGCACAAAACATTTGTGCAGCAAATCCCATTCGAGTCTCTTAGGGCTTAGGCATCAGCTCCCATTCTCTTAGTTTATAGCCTCGATCAACATAGCTATAAAATTTCACTTTGAGTTTGCGTCACGCTTAATTCTCGACTCGCAGTCTATCTTGACTTATCGATTTCATTTAGCCAACTCGCAGAGTCTCAACACACAACAAAATATTGCCATCAAATATAATCGCAAATAGTATATAAAGCATGAAACATCGTTTTAAGTCTCTATGTGAGGCACATAGTTCATAATTTAATTTGTTTCAACTTTCAACTGCATCAATTGTACGTTCCTTTTCTGTATTTAACCCTGGTTTATATTTTAGTGAAGAGCTTTTATTTATATGGTTTATAGTCCACATTCAAATTTTCCATATTGTCTGATGTCTAGCCTGAAATGTCTGTTTCACTTAAACTCTCCCATCTCCTCTCTCTATATATATATCTAGTATACATATTTCTGTTTTTGTGTATGTGATATGGTTTTTTGGTTGGTGTTGGAGTCGAGGTTGTTGTAACAACTCTATTAGTGTCTATATATATAATTTTCCGATTCTAATTTCTATTTCTATTCTTTTATTAATACATATTTAAGATAAACCATTTATGCAAACTTTTATATTTATATATGACTAAAATATACCATTTTATTATTGTTATTATGAAAAAAAAAAAAAAAAAAAAAAAAAAAAAAACAAAAAAAAAAAAAAAAAAAAAAA